CACGCACACGTGCACACGCACACGCGCACACGCGCACACGCGCACGCGCACGCACACGCACACGCACACGCACACGCACACGCGCACGCCCACGCCCACACAGACACACACACACACACACACGCGCGCCAGCAACCAATCAGACAACCAAACATATCAACCAACGAAACAAAATACATGCTAAGGAAGCAGGCAACAAACATGCGTGGTATGGAGTTTGGACCAGGAGCCACACAGGGTAACCGGGCACACCCAAACAACAGTCAAAGAAAAAGCCAAACCCCGCGCGGCAAGGGTCGCCCCTTTTTCATGCATGCGAACCGGCCGGTTCTTCATGGGACGAAACGCGATCGGAATGAAACCAAATCGGCGATCCAACATGCGAACGCCCCCTCCAAGAAAACGATGTTGGCGGATTGGACTTCATCTGAAACTTCCTGCGCTCGCTCTGTGCTTTTCTCAGCGATCCATGAAGGAAACCTGGTCCGCCTCTGTCTCTTTCAGAGACAAACGGTTATCCCTACGGAACTCTGCGTACAGCTCGCAACCCACTTCCTTCGTCAACATGTCGGCGTGCTGCTTGAAGGTGGGTGTCCACCGGATCTTCACGATCCCACCTTCCACCAGCTCGTTTGCCGACAGCAAGTCTAGGAGCGTCTGCCGTTCTGTAGGCACCTGGCCAGTGGTGGTCATGTGGTCGTACAGCGCGCGGCAACACCTTCAACTTCTTCCGCCAGTCCACCTCCATCGGTTTTTCCGCATAGAGCAGGCTTTCCAAATCTGTGGCCTTTGTCCTCCGGGCAGCCTTGTCTCCATTCTCTTCCACCACTAGGATATTCTTGGGATCCTCACCGATGAGGATGGTCAACCTGTTCTTCTTCTTGCCGCCCGCCTGAAATCTCTTCCGCGGCGGCAAATGCAACCTGGCACTCGTCACCCGGCAGACCATGAGTTCCGGATCTCCCTTTTCCCAAGCCAGAAGTAGCAACCTCCTCATGATCTCCAAGAGATGCCTCCTGATCTCTTCGAAGGCCCGCTTTTTCAAGCTTGGGACATCATACGCCTCAGCCGGCTCCGGAGCCTCCCGGGCGTTCGTCATCCTCACGCTAGCTTCACTCTCGCGGTCCAGATTACTATTGGCCTCCCCAGTAATCTCTTTGGGGGAAGAACGCCAAGGCCCTCCAGATCACGTAGGAGCGCATCTGCTTCCAACTCCTCACTTGATCCTCCATCCTTACTGGGGTCCTCGGCTGTCTCTTCTCTGCTGGTCTTGCCGTTCACCGTGCTTGCATCCGCCACGAGCGACATGCTTCCTGGGTTCTGCGCCAGCTGCGTTCTCAAAAGCACAATGCCCGGCTCTTCCCATGCTTTCGGATCTCGGCGAACCTTCTCGTCGCCCAGGAGCCGGATGACGGGCGCCTGCTCGGAGTGAGAGAGAATGGCTCCACCATGCTCACCAGCTCCGGCCCACCTCCGACCCATATCGGATACATGTAGGCCAACTTACTCACCACCGGCGCGCAGCGGCTTTGGCGGGTCCATCTGGGGCGACTGCTCCTCATCCTCCGCCTCACTCAATGTCGGCCTGTCTCTCGAAACTCTCGTCGGCCAAGTCTGGGGCGTAGCCCCCAGCCGCGCGCTCGGAGTTCTCACCTCCGGGGTCCTTGGTCCGAGCACACGTGCGTGCTTGTGGCGCTTGTCTTGGGGTCTGCTCAGCCTGTTCTGAACCTCCCGCTTTTCCGTCTGGTGCCCGCTCTCCCGGACCCCGCTCTTCTTGGGCTTCCTGATCATCCCCTTGAGCAGGCTTCCTCTCCGCCCCGCGGGAGCGGCTGCGAAGGCTCGCCATCACGCCGCTGGCGCCCCATGGCTAGAGCCTCTCAAGCTCACGCTACCCATATGGAGTTTGGGGACCAGGAACCACAAACAATAACCGGGCACACCCAAACAACAGTCAAAGAAAAAGCCAAACCCCGCGCGGCAAGGGTCGCCCCTTTTTCATGCGTGCGAACCGGCCGGTTCTTCATGGGCCGAAACGCGATCGGAATGAAACCAAATCAGCCAAGCGATCAAACATGCGAATGCCCCTTCTCCATGCGTGGAAGTCAGCAAATAAGCTAACACAAAACTGGAAAGGAACTAATGCCCCTGCAAAAAGTTTAACTTTTTGGGGGTTTAGTGGAAAGCTCCTTTAGTTCCTAAAAAGATAAAGTCTAAAGATCCAACCCAATAGCAGTCAAGTCTTGTGCCCCTGTTTCGAAAAGCTATCTAGTGACAGGGTGCCGCACGCAAAGCGGAAAAAAACACACATGTCCTTTTAGCTCACCTCACCGAAAGTTCTCACTGTTTTCTCTTTCATGGCCTCGAATTTTGTCTTTCTCGGCTTTGCCCCTGATTCGACTTTCGTCTTCGCGGGTCGCTTCGCAATATTATATCATCTTCGAGTTTCGCCTTTGCGCATATTCAAGTTTGCTTTTCGTCTTCGCGGCTATTGTTGGCTTCGTGCTACATGTAAACGGCCATCGGATTTTAAGCTTTGCTGTCTTCACAATTTCGCCTTTGGCCACCCAGCAGCATGGGGACCCCATCTCCCGGGTCATACACACACAATACAACTAGCTTTGGCTCGCCTCCCGGTGAAGAGTCCGCTCGAATCACATGGGCTGCAAGGGCCAGGGGCCCTGCGCTGCCCCTTCTCAAAAGTATCCAGCTTCTCTTCGGGGAAGGCAGTGTTCCACAACAGCACCACCTGCAACTTCCACGACTGCGCAGTTAAACTGGGAGGGTGCCACGCATCAACACATCTGGCTCTCCCAGCCACACTGGACTGATGCCAACAGCTTTGTGAAGACTGCAGTGAGTAGCGCAACATATCTTGGACAACTAGCAGTTGCGGACCTGTACATACCTGTAAGTGGTGTGGGATGGGAGTGCCTGTTTTTGATGCTGGCCTTGGCCCAGCTCAGCCTCTTGGGTAGAGGGTAGGGTTGCCCTCGGCGGGCCTGTGAAAACAAATCTTCCAAAGCGACTGATCTTTGGCCCCGTGAAATTGCGATACTGCATTAAATCAAGAGCTTGCGCAAGGACTTTCCGTTGGGTGTGAATGGCTCCAAAGGGAAAACCACTATCTCTGGACAACTTCAAGCGTCTGGAGGTTGGCTCGATGGCTTTGTTGAGAAGGGTCGGGAGTGGGTGTGGTTTAAGACGAAACCTTTGGCGAACGGCTTGGAGGCTTGGAGGCGTGGCAATTTTTTGAGCTGTAAAACCTCGGGTGAGATCCAGGCTTGGTTGCCCTGCCGCTCTTTTTGGAGTCGGGGTCTGCGGGTGTAAACTATATTGCTGAGAATTCTTGTACTGGTGCAGCTGGAGCAGCGCGCTGTTGTTAGGGTGGCAGCTTCATTCGAAATTCCTTTGACTGGGAGGCCCCCCGTGGCAGGGATGCGCTTGCAGCATAGCTCCTGCAACTGTCCAAGTTATAACCCCAACGCACGCAGCTAGGCCTGCTTGTACAACTCACTCTCCTCAGGCTTCGGGTTGTTTACGACCTCAGAAAGCGCTCCGCATGCTTGCAGCCAGGAGACAGCTGCCAAGAACTGACAGCTGCCAAGTTGCTTGCAAATCGTTGTGTTAAGCGTTCACCGCGGAAGCCGCATGAGAATGATCCTCGCAAGCTACGACCTGCGCAAATGCATCTGGGTTTGCCAGCATGTCGCCGCAGGTGCCAAACCTTGGGGCTGCGCTCGCATTTGGCACTCTTGCTGCGCCTTCCCACTCCCATGGCTGAGTGACAACGTGCTTTTCATGAAAGGTGCCTTTGTTTGTAGCTCTGCTTAGAACCATTGAGAAGACAACTCGTGCAGCTTATGGTAAGTCTCATCAAATCCCTGATCCCCTTTCAAAGCGCCAAGCCGCCGCATCCTTCTCGTGGTCTGTCAAGGTAGTGACGAAGCGAGGGCCCAGGCACACGATGCAGCGGTCGCAAAAAGAACGTTGATCCTCACAAGGAGCAGCCACATCAAGGCAGTGACACACAGCCCACAGCGTTCGTCCAGTTTGTCCAGCCTCTAAGTGTGGCTGCTCATCTGTGCGCCCCTCTTCCTTGGACAGTTGTGATTTGCCCCTGCTTCAGCTTTCCAAGTACTGCACCCGTGAAAGCCTACTGCCACAATCGGTTGAGATGTTTCCCTCGTCTTGGGTCTGGATGGCTTGGATCCTCTCCCTCCACAAGCCCCGAATGGAGCAATGAAATCATCGGCCAGGTTTTCTTATACTCGATCCTCAGGCATTTCGGCAGGTTGATTGCAGCCAACTGGCCAGCAACCGTTCCTGCTCCATGATGCTTGGCCACTGCCGGCTCGGAACAAGTGGGTTGAAGGCTACTCGCCTTGTGCGAAAACTGTTGTTGATTTGTGCGATGCTTTCTCCATTCATACTTGGTAGGTGCAAGGTACGGAAGGGTGGATCGCCTGACAAGCGCAATGAATCCGAATCCGAATCGAGTTCAAACGGCTGCTGAGCAGTGAAGCATAGTGCAGACCTTCTGAAGTGGCCAGACTGAGTGCACTGGGGGCAAGGCAGGTCGCGTAGCATCTTTGCCCTTCTTGGATTTTCGCTTGTTCTTGGAGGGCGTGTTCTCCGCCTGTAAAGATGCAATCCCAAATTGTTCAGGCTGCCCCGCTAGCATGTTTACAAAATGGGGATGCTGGCAACTGTTCGACAAACCTTGGTTTCCTATTTGCTACGCGCTTTCGCTTAGTTTTCCCGCTCTGTGCGACACTGGGCTTTCATATGTCAGCTTCGTGATAGCCAACATGTGCAGAAACTGGGTCACCTCTTGAAGACCTTTTGCACGATCTGGATCCTGCGGCACGCTGCTTGACACGAGCAAGCAACCAGCTATACTGAGTTTGCTGCTTGCCTGGCTTGAAAGCACGCTCACACGGCACGAGATCGCACCAGCCTTTCGCTCTTCGAGTGGGCTGGGCAACCACTGGTCATCGAGGGTCTGTCGGCGGCTGTAAATGCAAAGGTGTGATGCAACTGCAAGCCCTCGATTGCGTGCGCGGCCTTTTCTGGGCAGAACCCAAAGCACATCCTTGCAAGTCACTAGCGCTGGTCCTCGCCGCTAGCTGGTACTTGCCTAAACATAAAAGTGTCAAATGCGGGCTGCCGCGACACAAGGCGCGCTGTTCTGGGCAGGTCCGGGTTTTGCTGCGGCAGCTGGCAACCATTCCATTTGGATTGGTGCCTATAGTGCCACACAGTATTTCAGGCAGCCTCATGACTCATTGCTGGCTGCTAGCATTCGGGCTCCTGACACAGGCGCATGCAGTCAGCAATCCGACACCCACCCTGTTCCCACCCTGTTTAGCATTGGGTTTGCATTGGTAATTCTGCTTTGTCCAGTACCACAGCACCCCAACTGCACTTTTCTAACTTTGCGTATTCCCGGTTTTGGTCCGAACCAGGTCGAGGAATTATGTAGGAAAAACTGCTCCGTGCTCCCCAGTCCTACTGCGCTAGCCTGTGACTATCACAAAGCACACTTGACATTTCTATTCACATGGCAGCCCTTCGGTGTGTTTTGTCCACAAATTCGACATCGAGCCGGGCAAGCAATGCCCGGTGACTATCTGGTGGCTGTAGCTTTCAGCCAAGGCACGCGGTAGCATTGGCAAACTGCTCGTGAAGCTGCTTCAGAAGGAAGTCATCAACGATTATGCTTAGCCGATGCTCCTGTGCTCCAAATATCTGCAAGTCCCATCGACTTCACCGAACTCCACCCAAAGATTTCTTGAGTTTGAGCGGAAAGAACACGCGTGCGCGGCGGGGAGGAAGGTGGGGCTGGGCAGGGGTTGGGGTTCCGGGCAGGGCAGGGAGGGGCCCAGCGTTCCGCAATGTGTGTGTGTGTGTGTGTGTGTTAGCTTGAAACTCCTCGAAAGTATTCTAGTGCTTATGCCAATGGCAACACTGGAATGAACTTTGGCACAGCCAGCTCATTGGAAACTTGGGGCCAGCAGCATGCTCGCGAGACAAGGCCTAGTGAACCATTTGCAACGATGTAGTCCCACTATTTGCAATAGAACACGAAATACCTGGTCACTGTTCTTCGGTGTGTCCTTCCAGGACGCATGTGTCGATCGATTTTTCTGGATTGTTCTTCATGTTGACCATGAGCTGTGCGTGCATTTAAATCAGAATCGGGAGTTGCATTCATAAGCATTTCAGCTTTGATATGTTTGAACTTTCGGTCGGCGTGACGTCTACAGCGGCTGGTCGGATCACAAGTCCTACAAAGAGCAAGACTACGAACGTCACTGACGGTGAGATTTTCGATGCAAATGATCGTTCCATTGCTTCCTATGGTGTAAAAAACAAAAAACGATACGGCTGACTGCCTGACCGGACAGCCCACCTCAATGCTGCCACCGTTTTCATCGCCTACAAGACTATTATTTTGCGATTAGTCTTCATCGATGACTCCG